GTATGTGATAAGAGCAGCCCGTGATGGTGTGGTGGAGAAGGTGTTTCATAAACCCGGTGACACAGTGCCTAAAGGGACTGTACTTGTTCATCTCCAGGAAGAATAAACTTTATCAAGTTTTATGATTATTCTTTGACCTAAAATACTAAAGTTTTTGACTTTTGCTTCATGGTATTTGAGCATAAATTGTTTTAATGTTTTTTATAATCAAAGATAATTTAGCAACAGAGACATTTAATGGATTTTATTTATAAATTTATGGACAATTTTTTTGTTCACGTACATGGACGATTATTTTTTATTTACATGCAATCTGTATTAGAACCAAATATACACTCTTGATGTGTATTATTACTATATCACTAATTAGTAATGTGTTAATTTCTTTAAAAGAGAAAAAGATGTCACTGTTGTTTATGTTTATCATTTTTGTAAAGTGTAATGTAATTTAAATTAAGTGTTAAGATTGGCTGCAAGATTATTGATGCAATATGTAAAGAATATTGAAGATATAAATAGACATAAGCAAGCTTTAGAACAAGTTAAATTTAAACTTATTTTGAAAAATTGCTCTATTAAAGAAGTAATTTTAAACAATACACACAACCTGGTTGTTATATATTACCTTTAATAGGTGTTGAAAAGATAAGTAACTATCTGCCTCTTTAAATTAATTGTGCAATGAATGTTACTAATTGTTACCCCAAAGTTAATTGTACCACTACATGGCATATTATGTCAAAAAAACAAAGCTTCTGAATATTTAAATTAAATTAAAACTCAATGTGTTATCTTTCTTGAAAGATGTTATTATTGTTTTCATTATTTTTATGTGATCAACCCTTGTTTGGAGTTTTATTTATTTTATTTAAGAGTAGGTACTGGGAAAATGATATTTTTTCAACTTTTAAAGAATACATGTTTAGAAATTAAATCTTAAAGATTGACAGTCTAGGAATAGTTATGTTGTGGAATTAGTTACACAGATTTTCTAAACATTATAAAGGTGAACTTTAAATTTTACTCTAGTAATGTATTTATTAAAATGCTTTAAATATTTTTTCTTACATGAATTTAGGTCCAAAATAATATTTTTAAAAACTACAGTGTACTGTATGTAATGAATGGGGATGTAAGTGATAAATTAACAAAATTGGTGTAAGCATTGATCTAATTTTCATGAAGAGATGACTGGCAATATAAATAAAGCTATATGACTTATGAAAAATTATTAATACTAAACCACTCCATGCACGAATAAATGTATGAAATGAAAAGGAACTAAAGAAATCTTTTAGTTATATGCATTTATTGAAACAATTTATTATATACAATCAGCTTTGATTAACATTTCACACCTTATAGCTCATTAATCATTAAAAATTCAGGCCAGCATACATAATGATAACTATTCTTGGCCTATTTTTAATTTAGTTATCATGCACGATCACAAAGGGACTCCAAGACCTTAGCTCTCTCATCTAAAAATGTCAAAAAGAAAAGTGAACAAACATTTATATAAACTATGTTTAGATGTTGTCTGACATATTACTAATTGATTTATTAATGGAATTATGAAATCAATTCCAGATATCATCAGGATAATGCTATTTGATCGTTTCCGTTGTCAAAGCCTGATTTCTAACCTTTTTACTTAACTTTATTTCATATAATTACAAAACCCCTCATCTACTGAGTGGAGTCCCAAATATCTTGTACATATAAGTCCCAAATATCTTGTGCATATTAAAATATATTAAGATATTAAAATATCATAATAGCATTAAAAAAATGGATAAAACCCATAACTTACCATCTGTTTTGCATTCTGGGTAAATGTTAATAATTTTATGCCGATGATATTTGATTAAAAATTTTAAACATTGCCGAATGGTCCCTGAAATGTAAATAAAAAGAAATATACTAACTATTACTAAAATAAACATATTTAATTAATTAATGTTTTGTGAGGATCTCCATTTGACTTCAGCTCTGCAGGGTTTCTTACATAAGATCACTAAATTTTACTAAAAAACATTGTCCTGACAATCCCCTTCATTAAATCACTTCAGAACATACACATTTTAATCCATGCTAAAAAGATGGGTTTTAACATTTTTTATCAATTAAACTCTAAATCTCCATATTTTATTTGCGTGGAATGGGCTTCCCCACCTGCTCTTTATCAATTGCTTAGACTTAGATCAACATCAGATATTAGACAAAACAGAGCACATTAAAAAAAATTCTTACCACTGATATGAAGACTTCTAATAACAACACTGATGCCAGCAATTTTCTCAATGAACAGCAAAGCAGTAGATAGAATACTGAAATCTTTCTTCTGACCTCTTATTATGACAATATTTGTCAATGGATTCAAATAAATCACTGAAATAATATTGCATTGGTTGAGTAACCCAAAAGAAAATTAATTAATTTTAAAAAAGGAACGTTTCGCTTTATTATTTTTGTTTTAAAAATCAAATTAAATTTGGAATCTGTGAAGGCAAGAGGACATTTCAAATTACTTTAACCTAATGTAAAAATCATTTGAACAATGATGTGTACAAATAATTGTTTTTACACGGGGGGGGGGGGGCATCCATATATGATGTCATGCATATAGGGGTGGGGGATCTCGATTTTGGGATAATGTATTATTAGGGTGTCTAAGTATTATGAAAATTTTGTGATGATGGGGGAGGGGAGTGTATAAAAACTTGCCAATATAGTGTGAAGTCAATTATGGACAGCTCCTTCCATATAAAATATAAAGAAGTCAAACGGACATGATGTAATATTGTTTTCTTAAAAATAACTATTGAAATGATTATGAGCACTTAGATTAAGTAAAGTTAAATCTGAGCAGACAGCTGATGTATCATGAGTTTTGTTATACCTTTAAGGGAGGCCTGGAATGTTCCGAGTCCTAAATCTCCATGGTTCTTAATTAAGGAATCCCTTAGTGCTTGATAAATCTTGTTTCCATCTATGTTTGCTGGAAATGATTGCTTCCCGGGAACAAAGATCTCACATAAAATGTACCTGGCAAATTTAATGTGCAATTGGATAAGTAAATATTTTAACACCAATACAAGTTTACATAAATTATTAATTTTAAGTTTTACTCAACCACTACAAAATGATTAAAACTAAACTAATGATAATATGATATCTATTACTATTAGATCAGAGATTATTATTTGCCCCTAAATCGATCCCTATGCCCAATGTAAAATTTCATATTAATTTATTTCATATTAATTGTTGGATTTTGTTTTTGTCTAAAATAATAGCTAATAATGCCAATAATGCTCAGTGGGAATTAGTTCAATTCCACCTGTTGGTCCATTCACTCAAAGTCCAGTGTTGAGATTCCCCAAAGTGAAATAAGTTCCCTTGGTTGAGACAACTTGGCAAAGCCCATGCCCTTAACTGCACATCGAAATTTTCAAAAGCCCAGACTGTTCCTTTAACTACAGATAGTAGTAGCCTAATGTGGCCTACTAAAGTAGTCTAAAAGTTAAAAGCCTAAGTCAAGCAAGAATAGTAAATCTAGTAAAAGTCTCTAACTCTAAAAAAAATAATTAATTAATTAATCATCTTTGACTTTTTTGAGACTGCACAGGCACACGCCACTAGTAAATAAAAAGTGTAAGTTGTTGTTGATAATCATTTAAACTGAAAATAAACTATAATTATGATGAAAGACGCTCATAATTTTTGGCATTTTTCTAGGTAGTTAGAGCTAATCATAATCATACCTGTTACTAAAACGAACCATGTTTGTTTACATCGAGTCCCTGTCCCTGGTTAGTCTAAGTACCATTCCAAGATATTAAAAAGTTTTCAAGACACATTTAAAATAAAACATTTTTTTTTAATGCGTAGATTTAAAAACGAAATAATGTATTATTATTAAATCAATTGCATTTTTATTTAAATAAGATCAATAATAATTTTGATACATAAAATGAAAAATTAAAATGAAAACTTAATGGGTAAAGGAGCTAAAATTGTTTATAAAAAGTTAATTGTAAACATTAATTTAATAGTAATAATTATAAACAATATGAATTATTCATTGAATATGCTACTTCTATTTATTGTTTTGATTTGCTCTCATTTTTTTTAAAAAAGGTATATTTGCTAAAATAAGCTGCATCAATCTTTCCTATTTATTTGACTCCTATTATATACTAATAATAAACTTTAAAATAGTTTTTATGATTTAAATGACTTGAATAAGAAATTTTAAGAAGTTTATAATGACATTTTACAAATTAATTATTATATTAGTGTAAATTGTAGATGTTTGATCTTTAAAACATATGAAGGAGAAATGCATTTAATTTCTTATGAAACTCTTTTGATACAGTTTTAATTATATTGGATTTATAACATCTTGCAGAAGTGCACAAAGGTTGAAGCAAATGGTGGAGGAAGGAATTTCAAAATATGTCAAAATCATTGAAATGTATCTGATTAAGCTATTACTTCCTTTGGGTTAAAGAGATCATTATCTATGTCTACAATTTAATTTATACCTGCCAGAGTTTGAGTAATTTTAGCTGCTAAATATCTTTGGACTCAAATTCTTCTATTCAATAATTGAAGTTTAGGCAATGCTTGTTCAAATAAACAAGTATCTTGTCTCTTAAACATTTTTATGGTTATTAGTATAAATAGTAAATCATTCTTTAGTAGTACAATAGCTACTTGTTTTAATAGTGAATAAGCATAAAATGTATGCTGTAACATAGGCTGGGCTGAGGCTAGTGAAAGACCTTACAAAATTTATAGTTCCTAGTGCCATTTTATTTTATTTTCTTTCAGTATGATCATGACTGATTCTATAAGCCTTCTATATCTGTTGTAAATATTTTGTAGTATACATAGGGCCTATTTCTTAAGATTCATTTCGAGTTTCATAATATCGGCATCCTTCCGTCTCGTGAGACGATGGTGCATCACCGTTGGGTTGCATTTTCTCGAGTGGCTGTGCAGTCCTATCCTTGAGTGACAGTCTTTACCACAGTTTTTACACACGAGTTCCGTGCTTCTAAATGTTTTGGCCTTTCTCCTAGCTCTTCTGTCTGCAGCCTCTTCCATTCTTCGCTCCTCGGCTACCATGACGCCCTCTTTGACAACTGTGCGCCACGTAGATCGGTCTTTTGCCTTACACTCCCAGTCACTTGTATGTATTTTACATAATAAATAAACAAACAAAAGAATGTTCAAAAATATATTTTATTACATGCTTTGATCAATTTTAATATTTTAATTTTATAGCCACAGCAGATAATTTTTAATGCTCTGATTATGAATCACTTGAATCCTCATCATTTTCATCAAATATAGCAACAGTTAAAGATTTTAGATCTTCTAGAACATCTTCCATTGCTTCTGGGGAGGTAAAAAAAATCTAAATTTTTATATTCTGATTCATTCAATTTATTTCACTAATAAAACAAAGTAAACATTTTAAAGTATATTTCATAGAAGTAATATTTCTGTACAACAATTAACTTATATTTATACGATCCTTTCAAATGTTGTAATTTTTAATAAAATTTTCATTTTTTATTTTTACTTGGTTAAATATCCTAAATATGAATAGATTTAATATATTTTATGTTTGACAAAATTAAATTCCCCAATAAAACACCACCAACAAAAAATATTGAAAACTTTCTCAATGAATGTTTGTTAATCTCTAACAAGCAGTTCAATATTAGTCAAAATGAAGCTTTAAGCCTATAGATAATTTTAAAGTGACCTTTATCCATGAATATGTTTTTAAAATTTTTTAACAGAAACTATTGTGCAATTTTGAGGCTCTAACATTCTTAAATTACATTTTACATATCTTTATTAAAATGTTGGCTGACCTTGATTATTTCTATGAGACTCTTCATGATGCCAGACTTTTTTGTGGTTAACTTTTTCTATATCCTCAAGCATCACATTATCACCTTCTTTATCAGATCTTTGCATTAATGACTCCAGTTTATGAGGCTCTGTATTTGTACAGGTATTAAAATTGTTATTACTTAAGAGGAAAACTTGGTCTTCTGCTCCGAATGAAAGCTTTATGGGGTCGCCTCTCTCACTTTTTAGGTTGCTGATTAAGCCTTCTTGTCTTAATGTAGCCTTTCAAAAATATTGAATGTGAAATTATTTTACAGTTTAAAAAATAACATTGGATTTCTTTTATCATAAAAAAATAACTATTAATAAATTAATGATTTTAAATGTGTTTCTATCCACTGTAGAAAAAAAATACAGCTATCATTTGCGATTATATTTATATTTTTATTTCTTGAGACCACATAATAGTAAAAAAATACTTATTAAACATTTTTAATGAATTTTTAAAGTTTTTCTGAATATTATTTCACATCCGGAGAAAAAATAAAAATTTCTTAATGAAATAATACTCACCATCATCAAATTTCTTTCTTTCTCTACCCTTAAAAGTTCATTTTGAATCCGCTTCAGCTGCTTGTTCAAATGTTCCTCAGTTGTCTGAAGGAGATCCTGAGCCCTTTCTAACTCTCTTGAATGATTACGCTCCATTTGTCGCATTGAAATAACTGCGGGTTTAAAAATGCAAAACATTCTAGACCATTAGAACCAATAGACCATTATTGTACAAGAGAATTTCAATTTTTAGATGAAAATATGTGCTTATCCTAAAAAATTTTAATGAAATTTTAAATAGATTTAAAATTTCTCTTGTTATCATAAAATAATATTACCAGCTTTAGCATGCTCCCTCTTTGAGTCATTTAGTTTTCTCTCTAATGCAGCAATCTTTGTATTCCACGCTGCTTCGTCTTGCAATCTATGCTCAGCAAGGACTAAAGATAAATAACTTTAAAATATGGCTTATTTGATTTTTGTTAAGAAAAACCATTCCTATACATTAGGAATTAATGTGTGTTGGTAATTGTTAAGGCTAAAGATAAAAATAACTAAAATGCTATTTTATTATTGAGGGAATACATCACATGGGGGACATATAAAATGATGCCCATGGGATCTACATACTTTTGCTTTGTTAAAAAAGAAAATGTTTGTTACCATTATCTACACCTTTAGCATATTTGTTTAACTCGGTCTTAAGGTTCTGTATTGTTTCACTTTTTTCCTTTATTTCTTCCTTCTGAAATTCTAATTCTTCTTTCAGCTGTGCACATTTCTGGAGATAGAAAAATATTAGT